GCGGGATGCCTCGAATTATTTACCTGCAAAAGCCGGTAGTTGCTTCAATCCGCTCATCACTACTGACAATTCTAACCAGCTTTGAGTGCATGGTGTAGTCTGCATAGGTGTAAGGGAGACATCGCTTCCTCTGCGGAATATGGGTTGAGAAAGCTGTGCCATGCGATTAAAATATTTAAAATTTTGTTGGAACCTTAATTTCATTTGAAGAAAAAGTATGAATGACTTACAGTGATCACTGGAAAAAAACACATTAGATCTAGAGTCCAGACTCTTGAAAACATTGACAAGAAAAAATACTCTTGATTCAATCAGATTTAAGCTTAAATCAAAAGGAAGTCCGCTCAAATTAAGAGGCTTGGTTCCCCTGGTAAAAATTGGCAGTAGAATCTGTGTTCCAAAATACCATAGACCTACAGCCGACTGTAAGATTTCCAATAGCTTCTATAGCCGGCAACACAATTTCTTATAGCCTTTTATAGCCGATGGCGATTAAGCAACAGCCTGACGATAAAGTGTATGCTATCCGTTACTAATTACGGATGCGCGGACTTAGTGAGTTTTTGGACTACCGCTCTCTTTTTGGGCCGTAGTATCTTGATTTATTTTGCGAGGGAAGCTCCGTACTTTTGAAGGATGCCTGCCATTCCTAATATGTTGGAGCGCCTTCAATTTCGTATGATGCTGTGCAATACCTCTGGTGTGAAATAGTTGCTTCAAGCGCCGTGGTGTGCTGCGGCGCAGCGCGGCGAGCGGACAGCCAGCGCGTAACGCGCATTGGCGCCTACAAACCTAACAGGGATACTTCACGCATTGCGCAATGCGTGAAATATCTCTGTTAGGTTTGTAGGCGCCAGTGCGCCGCTGCTCCGCTTTGTGTTAGGCTCTAATATTTAATCTCGTGGAGTCAGCGTTGTTCAACTCATGACTTTGAAATGTTTGCACACTCTATATGGATTATTCTCATTTTAATTGATGAAAAAAAATATGAAGTAAAGGAAAATATAATGTGCGTTTTGAAATATTATGGTGATTCCGTACAAACTTGCGGATTTACAAAGCACACGAATTCCTACACAATTTCTTATAGCCTTTTATAGCCGATGGCGAAAAAGCAACAGCCAGGCGATAAAGTGTAAAGCCCGGCGACAGGAACTATAGCCCGGCTGTTTAGTTTTTTATCGCTTCGTGTAGCCCGGCCGTATGATTTTTTCCACTTTCTACAGCCAGCTATATGATTTTCTATCGCCTTCCTTCTTAAAAACTCCTATGGTATTTTGAAACGCAGCTCCTATCGCCAATTTTTACAAGGGTCTTGATTTAAGCAAAAATCCGATTGAATCAAGAGTATTTTTTCTTGTCGATGTTTTTAAGAGTCTGGACTCTAGATCCATAGTGTGTTTTTTTCCAGTGATATGAGTATGGTAATTACCAACAGACCCTTAGGTTTTTTTTCAAATTCTATGACGATTAAGATACAATTGTGAATTTTTCCGTTCAATCAATTTTTATTTCTGTCATCATTCTCTGTAGAGATATGCCGCGCCGGTCCGAAATTCATGATATTAAGATCGCTCATTGATATAAGCTCTGAATGAGCCCGCTTTATTTAAAAGTTTGTTGCGCAGGAAGTGGCATAGCATCTTGAAGGCGCAAAGCTTCCGCAATTATTTGTTATCACATAGCGGCCAGCGTTCGGCGTCCATCAAAGGTCTTGTTCTTTTGACGGATCGTCGAGACGCTCTCGGTTCCAACTTAAGTGGCGAACTTACGCGCCTTAAAGGCCGTGCCTTTGGTATTCTGATTTAAATTTAGCTCATTCGTAGGCTAATCCTTAAGCTATATTCCGAGTCCATCCGTGCTCTAATTCACCACTTATCATAATAGAAGCTTCCGAAAGCTTACTCACGCTCAAATTTTGAGACTTTTCAAGTCATTTGGACCATTTCCGATCAATCCTAAATGCAATCCCATCCTATAATGTTTACACTGTCATGCTATGGAAGAACAACGCACGAGCCTTCGGACGTTGCCAAATTTCCTTTGAAGGGTCACTAATTTTCATGAAATTAGTAAACATATTTCTTCCGGTTTTTCAGAGTATTTTGCTCGTAATTTGATTTGAATAACTTCCTTCAAAAATGAATATTTTCTGAGTGGAAATTCGGCAACTTTTAAATGCTCATACGACGTTTTTCTTTACTACAGCAGTATGGGTCATCATTTCCGCGAATTCATTCAAGAAGTTAAAGAACAGTGATAATCACCGCACGATTCTAGGAATTCGGACTCTTATAGCGAGGAAGATTTCGTGGATCAGGCTACTGGAACATACATTCAGGCTGATTTAGCCAAAGTTGGCTCGAACTCAGTTATCATCGATTAAGTACCACAGTGAAAGAAGTTGGCGAAATATGAGATGAATACCCTCTAGGAGCGTAATATTTGAACTAGCCGCTTCAGCGTGGCATTTAAGCTTATAGAGGAGGATGATGTTGATTGCCTAATACTTTCACTGGGGATTTATATTGCGACCATAAAATTAACAAGTGCGTTCTTGCATCAGTGGATTCAGCGGAACAGCCAACACATTATTGTTTTTATACATATTTGCCATGCGATGGCGTTGATGGTTCGATTATTGCCTGAGCCAAAAAAGTGTCATTCACTTAAATTGAAGTAAAAGGTCTCGATTATTTGTGGTGGTCGGAAACAGGAGTATACAGAGGATGATTAAGAATCGCAGATAATCCTGAACTCCTATCTGTTGTACGCCACCCGAGTAGCTTTTTCAATGTTTGTTTCTACTTCTAGTTTAAATAACTAAAGTAATAGACGGGTGAAATTTTGAGAAGAACAAAAAATAAACTTAAAAAACTGAAAAAATTCACCGCAGTATTAGGTGGAAAATGAGTCCTATAAAATCGTTTCTCTGCAGAGCCGCAGAAATTCCGAGAACCAAAATAATAATAAAAAAAATGCGGCGAATTTTTTCAGGTACATTTGATTTTTATTTTTGTAACTATGCATTCTTGAACAAACATTTACCCCCAACAGCTTTAGTTATTTGGCATTTTTTTCGTGAACGCATGATTTCGGCGTTGTAGCAGATTTTTTCCACAAAATTGGGATCTAAACTCAAATTATACAATTGCATCATAGAGTTGACCTCCCACACCCCTAAAAATGGATAAAATCAACTAAATTTATGCGAAAATGTTGCATTACCGAGTGGCACGGATTGCCGCCGGGGGACGGTGACATTTCAAACTTCCATTTTTTCGACGCACCCTGTGGCAGCCTGTATCACCTGAATCGATTCTCGTACATGCATTTCACTTGCGGAAAAGCAGTGCTGCCAACTCTTAAGAATCACTACTCTCGAGATCGAAGGGAGGTCATGCCAAGCGGTCAAGCGAAAAAAATGGAAGACTTCGATCACGACCATCAAATCGAGACTCAGGTTCAGCCCGGAACAACCGTGGATTTTGTTGCAGGGTCAAATCTTTCATTTAATGCTCGTGCATGCATGAATGAAGGATAAAAATTAATCGTTGGGAAAAATTGAAAGTTTTGTGAACGACACTCATAGTTCGGCTCCGAAAGTAGGATTTACTAAACTCACGTCGCGTCCACTTTGAAAGATTATTTGAAATTGGTGAAAAGGAGAGTTCAATCACAGTCGAACTTTCAACTATTCATTACAGACTTCAGCTGTGGTATAAGTTCCAGATTCGGTAGCTGGCAATTTCAAAATCAAATTGGTTAATCATTTGAGACGTTAGCTTAACCCTCCTCCCCCTTCCCGACGGCACATGTTTTCCTGTTGCGTCACTTTGATGCAAATATCCTGCTCAGCCCGCAGACCGTGTTACTACAAACATTTACCTCTCATGAAAGAATTGGCAGGTCGATTGCATAAAATATTGACGGTATTATGCGATACATTTGACAAATTTACGCTCTCATTTTGGATAGGGACCGTCCAAGAAAGCGTAAGAATCTGACGACTTTTATTTTTCTCGACTGTGAAAAGGTGAAGATGTGCATAGAACATTGATTGTAGAGTTGATATTTTAAACATTCTGAGTTCCATTAGGTGTTGCTGAAATTGCACGACTATCTTCCTCTTTAATTAGGGTCTAAAAACAAATTCGTTCTTAAAATTAATATTAAAATTGAATCGTGTTGTTCTGATATACGGCATCTTTTCTGTGCTTATAAACGTGAATTGATGTGACTGATCAGGTACTCAGGTACCAATGCTTCTATGAGTGCAACTATTCGTGCCTCCAATCCGGTCTTTTTGCAGTCACCATTATTGAAGGCGAACTCGATTGAATGAACATGCGCTCTTTGGCTTCCCATGGTTATTTGTTTTTGTTTTTGTTTTTTCATTTGCTAATCACTGTTATTTAGAATTCATTAAAATATTGACTGTATGGAATGTTCGTCAATAAGTGCATAATGTACATCCCCGTGCGAAGCTTTTTAGCCATCGAATATTTTGAACGCCATTTGTAGTTCTTTATTTCAACAAAAAAGACGCATATAAGACGTAAAATTACATTTCGATTGAAGTTTGGTCATTAGATTAGTCGAGCTCGGTAGAGAAAGGTTGAAAGAAAAAAGATGAGGAGTTTTCGATCCTCTTGAGACTGAATTGAGAGGAACTCTCTAGACAAAAATTTGCCATGGTAAAGACGTTGAGGTTTTTTTTTTTCACCGTATTAAACATGTACTACTTAATGGCCCTCAAGCTGTTTTGAATTTATCCGTCTTCGATTGCGCCTTCAATTCGGTGGTTATGCCACTTGAATAATATGATTTCGACATTATTGCATCACATATTCAATCAATTTTACGTCCATTTAACCCATTGCGTCATAGCTGTACAGCATTTATAACGCACTGGATATGGATGTGCGAAAATGAACTATAGTTTCTGCATTTTGAGCGACTAATCAACATGTTTGTGTATTTATTTGTTTCTGCAATAGGTTTGTCTTGCCAGGAAGTGGACAAACCCTGTATCAATTCGAGGTGCCAGTGAAGGAATGTGGGACAAAACCATCCGCCGGAGAGTGCAGGTCGGGATCCTGCGGAAGGGGCCATTCCATCGAAAATACTCTGATCATCCAGACGGATGATGAAGTACAGGTCAGTAATAGTTCCAAAGTAATATGACCAGGGCCGGATTTACCAACTTGCCGCCCATGGGCCGCTTGTATTTTGCCGCCCCCTTCTCATTCGTTTTGAAACATCAATGAAAACCATTAAGTGAACGTGCCGGAGGGGGCGGGGGAGGGGTGCATAAGACGCGTTTATCTACTCGGGTTAGATACCTACATTTTTTGCGAAAGCCCTGTCAACACTACTAGCAAAAGTTCACGGAACTTTGCGCGAAAGTTAAGTTCCGTAAACATATCTCTGTGTGAACAAGGTCCTCCATTTATAAGAAATGAACCAAACAATGGAAAGAACAAACATAAAGGTGGTTTAATAATTTTAACTACCGCCGCTGCGCGGGGCTGATCGCACTGTGTTTGGTGCAACGCGTGAAGTATTTCTGCAGTCTTGTAGGCGCTACGCGTTTCACGCCAACCGCTCCTGACCGCACTGTGTTTGACGCGATGGGTGAAGTATTCATGCAGTCTTGTAGGCGCCAATATGTGTTACATGTCCACCGCCGCGCCGTGCCGAGGGCTTGTCCTTTCCAGCTTAAGTCCTCGCTATCATTCCTCTCTGCGCTGAGACCCAGGCCAAATTGCGTGTTTAGTTCCTCTCTTAACTCGGCTAATTAAAGATGCTGTCTCTTTTATCAACGAAAAACGATAAAATTAGAAATTACTAAACTCTCAGGAAAGATAAATTTAGTCCCCTTTTCTCATTGATAATTTTTTTTCTGATACCGATTTTTTTAATACCTACATGTAAAAAAATATTAAAATTTGCCGCTCCCTAAATTTGCCGCCATGGGCCGCGGCCCATTTGGCCATCCCCTTAATCCGGCCCTGAATATGACAGTGACCGATGATTAAAGTCAGACTTTACAACAATACGATTTTGACTTAGATATTCTTTTGTAAACCAAAACTGACAAAAGCTAGCTCAGTCTCTTATCCGAGATTTTTTCCGGTTAAAATAAATCAATCAGTGTGCAATAGAAATTTCTTGATTTATCTTTTCCTCCGGCTTTTTCAGAATATTTGATGACAAGCAACTCAGAATGGGCGAGAAATGCGCAATTTTGAAAAAATCTTATCACCTGAAAATAATGCGCGAGAAATTTCTAGTCATTAATTATTTTCACTTTTTTACCAGGAAGCGTGGGATTTAGCCAGACGCATATCATGTCCACGAAGTGAGAACAACAACGATAAACGAGTTCACTTCAAACCGATCACTGTGAACATGTTGGATGTTGTCTCAGTCCCTACTGGCGATGGATTAATCGATTGCTGGATGGATATCCAAAGGGGTGAATATCCCAATGTGAGTAAAATTCATGTAAAACACATACGTCCCCCCTTATGGGTTGATTCAGACTGATATGCTACCTTGTGGGTAATTTTCTCTTTCTCTTAAAAATTGAAATAATGCCAAAGTTATAACATTTTATACGAAAAATCATTTGGTATCAGTAAGCAAGCAGCTTGTGGCAAGATTTTGAGAGGAAATGGACTTCAGAGTTTTATTCAAGCTTTTTAAAAAAATTGCAGGGAAAGAGAAAGAAGTAGGTTACACGTCCAGCTTGCAGAATTATTTCCCTCATATTAGAGCAGTTAAGTGTGTACGTTGAATCTTGCTGCGAACGCAACGTTTTCTATACAATTTTTAAAGAGACTTCAAAAGGGTCTTAAAGTAAGCCTGCAGCGAGATGCATTCACTCTTTTTGTAGTTTTAGTAAACATTCGCTGCTGTTAAATGCAGGAAACTAAAAAATAACCCAGAAAAGAAACTTGGGGAGGGGGATGAAAAAATAGATAAAAAATTGCCTGCCTATAAGACATAAATATTGCGTCCTTCTTTCAAACCTGAAATTGATAACCATTATTTTTATCGACAGCTTTCAAACATCAACGAAATCATTAAAATCGGCGAGACGCTCTCTGTTCTAATTTACATCAAGGATGCTGAAAATCGTTACGATGTTTCAGTCAGAGACTGCTGGGCCTACGACTCAGAGGATTATGAGAGTCCGAATACCGTCAAACTTCAACTGACAGATGCGCAAGGTTGTCCAAAGTAAGATCTCGACTTTTGTTTTTTTTTAAGATTCTTGAGGTCGAAACGATAAAACCATGACTTTTGAAGTGGGCTGAGGAAGAAAATAAAAGTAATTGAACGTTATGTACAGGTTCCAAATCAGACTGAATTTTGCAATTGCAAGCTGCAGTTTCTGTCTCGGTTTAAGAATAACTTATGTACCATCAGGTTCCGTATGCATATAGGTGTTTCAGATAGGTGCTGCAGAAGGGCCAGAAATTTTAGTTCCTAATTGCAAAACGTAGTCCAACCGATATCAGAATATTTTGTGCGGAAAAATCGGATAGTAGGTAAGGGTTAGTACCCAGGATTTCTCAAACCACCTAACTATATGCTGTTGTCGACGGAAATTTTTAGTCTTTGCATTTTAAGAAGTGAGATTGACTACAGTATCGCCTCCCGGTAATCTTAATTTCTACATATATTTCGAACTCAGGCGCCGTCCTCTCCCGTCTTCAGCGAGCTGATCATTGACATTTATAGACTGAACAAGAAATAATTGAAAAACATTGCCAATGCAGCGAATTCCTGCATTACATTTTGCAATAAGGAACTGCAAGTTTTAGCGCATTTTAGAAACAAGGCATATTTTATTAGGTTCCCTACGCAAAAGGGTATGTTGATGCATTGGCCGGAACTGGTATTTTCAAATGACAGAATGTAGTACACCTCATATCTGATGTCATTAAGTGACTTGTATGATTCTCTAGTGGAATCCGGGATGAATCTGGTTTCCTAACTGTTTTGAAAATAATTTTTCCCGAGTAACTAACTTAAAAATGGATGAGTTTAAGTTTTAATTCTCGATTATGATTTGTTATACTTTTTTAGGAAGAAGAAGCTCATCCATTTTTGGAACAAAGATATTAAAGAATCAGAAAATGGCAACACGATTATTTCCTACAACAATTTGACTGCCTTCAAATTTCCCGATCGACAACAAGTGTTTCTTACGTGCAACATTGAGGTATTTTATGCAATTTTCATTTTTTCACGATCGTTTTTCCGTTAAACGTTTAATGTTTTTTACACAAATAGACATTTTTTTCTTTCTCTGCTATTACCTAATATTAGTAAGAGATTTGCATGTGATCAGTTACGGAGGTCTTAACCTATTTGAATGAATGGCGTCTAATCGTAAAGGACATTGCAAACTAGTTCGAGTATATTTCACTAGAATTTGTCCTGTATAATCATTGGAGCATCCCATCTTTATGAATTTTAAAAAGCCCAAAACGCTAGAGAATACTCCTTTGAGGTGCATCATGAATGATTATTTCATTATTAATTCTAAATTATTGTAAGTGCATCAGCAAATAAAATAAAGTAACGTTTTACTTAATTTTCAATTAAAATAATTATAAACGAGTGATATGTTAATTGAAATTAAACGGATGATCAAGTATGTGACCGTCCATGCAAGAAGGAACCTTATAGTCCACCAAAACTCTAACTTAAGTGTCTTGCACTGGATCTCAGGAATTAGTTTAACGAAGGTTCATAACAAAACACAGAATAAATTTTAAAATTAAACAGGAGTGATGGAGGTGTGAAGTTTAATTTTATTTCGAAAAAAGTATGTTCAAAATTTTCATCTGCCATGTTTGGGGTGCAAAATTACTAGATTAAAATGCGACTATAAAGATTCTATAAGAACAAACACAAGCTGAACTGCTCTGAACTTGTCGTATTTTTCAAGACACACAAGAGAGAGAGAGTTTGCTATGAAAAATATGAAAATCAAATTCTTCGACTCTACTAAACAAAGATGTATGTACCTCTGCTTTTGCTGTCGACTGAAGTCAATTTTGCTTCAGCCATGGATGGTTTCATATTCTTTTGACAAAGTGCATAGAAAATAAAATAATCTTTGCTTACAATTGTTTGTTCAGTTATGCGAGGGAGCCTGCAATCAACCCATTTGCGGCCAAGATGAGCTGCCATCGAAGATACCTAACTGCTACCCGGGTTCACCTGATCCACGTTGTCAATCTACACAACGTCCAGTACAGCCAAATTGTTATCCAGGATCACCAGATCCTGGCTGTAATGTTGATCAACCAATTTTCCCGTCATATCCACCTCCCACGGTAATGCGACCGACCAAACCACCCACATGTTATCCGGGGTCTTTGGATCCTCGGTGTCCAGTATCGTCAAGACCTACAACTTCAAGATATCCACAGAGTCCTGATTGTTATCCTGGGTCACCAGACCCAAGGTGTCCACAGACACCCAGACCAACTTCTGCACCAACGCCATATCCACCAGCATCGACACCCCAACCAATATTACCCCCAGTGTGTTACCCTGGCGTATTAGACCCCAGATGTCCACAGCCTCCTAGGCCCACCCCGACCCAACCACCCCAGTGCTACCCCGGATCGCCAGATCCGAGGTGTCCACAAACACCAAGACCCACTCCTGCGCCTACGCCGTATTCTCCACCGTCATCCCCAAGACCAACTCTACCCCCTGTATGTTACCCTGGAGCATTAGACCCCAGATGTCCACAGACTCCCAAGCCCACACCTACCCAACCGCCACAGTGTTATCCTGGGTCACCAGACCCAAGGTGTCCCCAGACACCTAGACCAACTCCTAAGCCTACACCGACGCAGCCTCCACAATGTTATCCTGGATCTCCAGACCCTAGGTGCCCGCAGGCACCCACACCAACTCCGGCACCTACCCCATATCCTCCGGCTACATCACCCCAGCCCCCCGTATGTTACCCTGGGTCTCCGGATCCCAGATGTCCACAGTCTCCAAAACCCGCCCCACCGCAACCTCCTCAATGTTACCCTGGATCAGCAGATCCCAGATGTCCACCGTCTCCTAGGCCAACACCGACGCAACCCCCACAGTGTTATCCTGGATCACCAGATCCTAGGTGCCCGCAGACACCCAGGCCTACTCCGGCGCCAACGCCGTATTCCCCGCCGTCATCCCCAAAACCAACTCTACCCCCCGTATGTTACCCTGGAGCGTTAGACCCTAGATGTCCACAGACTCCTAAGCCTACTCCGACCCAACCTCCACAGTGTTATCCTGGATCTCCAGACCCTAGGTGCCCGCAGACGCCCAGACCTACTCCTGCTCCCACCCCATATCCTCCGGCTTCATCACCCCAACCTCCTGTTTGTTACCCTGGATCTGCAGATCCCAGATGTCCACAATCTCCTAAGCCTACTCCGACTCAACCCCCACAGTGTTACCCTGGATCACCAGATCCGAGGTGCCCACAAACACCAAGACCTACTCCTGCGCCTACACCATATTCCCCGCCCTCATCTCCACGACCAACTCTACCTCCCGTATGTTACCCTGGAGCATTAGACCCCAGATGCCCACAGACTCCTAAGCCTACACCTACCCAACCACCACAGTGTTATCCTGGGTCACCAGACCCGAGGTGTCCCCAGACACCTAGACCAACTCCCAAGCCTACACCGACGCAGCCTCCACAATGTTATCCTGGATCTCCAGACCTTAGGTGCCCGCAGGCACCCAGACCAACCGTGGCGCCTACCCCATATCCTCCGGCTTCATCACCCCAGCCCCCCGTATGTTACCCTGGGTCTCCGGATCTCAGATGTCCACAGTCTCCAAAACCCGCCCCACCGCAACCTCCTCAATGTTACCCCGGATCACCAGACCCGAGGTGTCCACAAACACCAAGACCTACCCCGGCGCCTACGCCGTATTCCCCACCGTCATCTCCAAGACCAACTTTACCCCCCGTATGTTACCCTGGAGCATTAGACCCTAGATGTCCACAGACTCCTAAGCCTACACCAACCCAACCTCCACAATGCTATCCTGGATCTCCAGACCCTAGGTGCCCGCAGACACCCAGACCAACACCGGCGCCTACCCCATATCCTCCGGCTTCATCACCCCAGCCCCCTGTATGTTACCCTGGATCTGCAGATCCCAGATGTCCACCATCTCCTAGGCCAACACCGACGCAAGCCCCACAGTGTTATCCTGGATCACCAGATCCTAGGTGCCCGCAGACGCCCAGACCTACTCCGGCGCCTACGCCGTATTCCCCACCGTCATCTACAAGACCAACTTTACCCCCCGTATGTTACCCTGGAGCATTAGACCCTAGATGTCCACAGACTCCTAAGCCTACACCAACCCAACCTCCACAATGCTATCCTGGATCTCCAGACCCTAGGTGCCCGCAGACGCCCAGACCAACGCTTGCACCCACCCCATATCCTCCGGCTTCATCACCCCAACCCCCCTTATGTTACCCCGGATCTTCAGATCCTAGATGTCCACAAACACCGAGACCTACTCCTCCGCCCACTCCATATTCTCCACCCTCAACACCCCGACCCGTTTCACCCCCTGCGTGTTACCCTGGATCATCAGATCCTAGATGTCCACAGACGCCCAGGCCAACTCTCCCTCAACCTCCACAGTGTTACCCAGGATCAGCAGACCCCAGGTGTCCGCAAACACCGAGACCTACTCCTGCGCCCACTCCATATTCTCCACCTTCAACACCCCGACCTGTTTCACCCCCTGTGTGTTACCCTGGATCATCAGATCCAAGATGTCCACAGGCTCCTAGGCCAACCCCCACTCAACCTCCACAGTGTTATCCAGGTTCGGCCAATCTTAGATGTCCCTCTTCGCCATCTCCGTCGCCTTACCCTCCAGCAACATCACCTAGACCAACTCTCCCTCCACAGTGTTATCCGGGTTCGGCCGACCCACGGTGCCCTCCAGTAGCAAAGCCTACATCTACAACTACACCACGGCCTCAGTGTTATCCTGGATCTACAGATCCGAGATGTCCCCAAACACCTCGACCAACTATATCGCCCACACCCTCACCACCACAATGCTATCCAGGCTCGGTGGATTTGCGATGCCCAAACACTCCAAGGCCGACGTTGCCACCTCAGTGTTATCCAGGATCTAATGATCCTAGATGTCCTCAGGTACCACCATCTTTTCCTACACCGTCAACGCCTCGACCACCTGTGTGTTACCCAGGTGCATTAGATCCGCGATGTCCCCAGACTGCCAAACCAACGCCCCCACCTCAGGCTCCGCAATGTTATCCCGGTTCGCCTGACCCGAGGTGTCCACAAAAATACCCGCCTACTCTTTCTCCGCCAACTTCGACTTTACGCCCAATAGAAACGCCAGTTTGTTATCCTGGGTCACCAGATAAACGTTGCCCACAACCAAGTAGTAAACGGCCTCCATCCGGATATTTACCACCCTCGGGAGAACCATCCTCTCCTAACTGTTATAAGGGGTCGCCAGATCCTAGATGTCTACAAACACCTCAACCCACTCAACCTCAAACTCCTTTATCACTCGTATGTTATCCGGGATCTTCAGACCCAAGGTGTCCTCAAACACCACAACCCACCGCTCCGTCAACATCTCCTAGGCCGAATTGTTACCCGGGCTCTCTTGATGCTAGATGTCCGCAGCCGCCAAGACCTACCCCTCCACCAACTATTCAAACTCCAACTTGCTATCCAGGCTCTCCAGACCCAAGATGCCCTCAAACACCGAAGCCAACGAAACCTTCAAGTGTCACTCCTCCGGTCTGCTATCCAGGATCAACAGATCCTAGATGCCCACAAACTCCGCGTCCGACATCTTTCCCAACGCCCGCACCACCTAACTGCTATCCAGGATCAACAGATCCGAGATGCCCACAAACACCGCGTCCGACATCTTTCCCAACACCTGCTCCACCTAACTGCTATCCAGGATCAACAGATCCTAGATGCCCACAAACTCCGCGTCCAACATCTTTCCCAACGCCTGCTCCACCTAACTGCTATCCAGGATCAACAGATCCAAGATGTCCTCAGACTCCCAAACCGACGTCCGTTGCGACTCTTCCCCCACCCATTTGCTATGTCGGAGCTACCGATCCTAGATGTCCTTCACCAAACTATCCAACTGCAATACCTTCAACTCAACCTTCCGTTTGTTATCCCGGCTCTCCTGATCCAAAATGTCCTCAGGTCGGCACCCCACGGCCACCATCAGGATATTTGCCTCCAGTGACAACCTCAACCGCACGACCACCCGCACCAGCACCTCCGAATTGTTACCCAGGCTCCACAGATCCAAGATGTCCTAAAACCCCGCAACCAACTTTCAGACCCTCATCAGCTCCTCCATCCTGCTATCCAGGTTCATTGGATCCTCGATGTCCTCCACGCCCATCTCCCCAGCCAATACCACGGCCAACAGCTCCCCCCACAATCGCACCGCCATCATGTTATCCAGGTTCACCGGACCCTAGATGCCCTCAAACACCTAGACCTGTAGTCCCAACGACACCTGCCCCACCAACTTGCTATCCCGGATCAAATGACCCACGGTGTCCTCAAACACCACGACCCACATCCCCTCCATTATGCTATCCTGGCTCACCCGACCCGAGGTGCCCTCAAACTCCACGACCCTCAGCGCCTCCCACACCACCGCTCCCGTCATGTTACCCAGGCTCAACAGACCCAAGATGTCCCCAAACACCGCGACCAACTCTTCCACCTACAATTGCACCTCCATCCTGTTATCCAGGATCCTTAGATTTAAGATGTCCTCAAACGCCGAGACCCACTCCCCCATCGACTAAAACACCTCCATCTTGTTACCCTGGTTCAAATGATCCAAGATGTCCTCAAACACTGCGGCCAACCTACCCACCACAGCCGTCTCCTCCATCTTGTTACCCTGGCTCAACAGACCCAAGATGTCCCCAGACACCACGGCCGACGGCTCCACCAACAGTTGCTCCCCCATCATGCTACCCAGGTTCACCAGACCCTCGATGCCCTCAAACCCCACGACCCACAGCTCCAACCACGCCAGCACCACCATCATGTTATCCAGGCTCAACAGACCCAAGATGTCCACAAACTCCAAGACCTACATCTCCTCCATCCTGCTATCCTGGCTCACCCGATCCGAGATGTCCCCAGACACCACGACCGACGGCTCCACCAACCGTTGCACCTCCCTCTTGTTACCCAGGATCACCAGACCCTCGATGCCCTCAAACCCCACGACCTACAGCTCCACCGACCCCAGCACCTCCATCATGTTATCCAGGCTCAACAGATCCAAGATGTCCGCAAACTCCAAGACCCACATCTCCTCCAGTATGCTATCCTGGCTCACCTGACCCTAGGTGTCCTCAAACACCACGACCTACAGTCCCACCCACACCAGCACCTCCATCATGTTATCCAGGCTCAACAGACCCAAGATGTCCACAAACACCAAAACCCACATCCCCTCCAGTATGCTATCCTGGCTCACCCGACCCTAGATGTCCCCAAACACCACGACCTACAGCCTCACCCACACCAGCACCTCCATCATGTTATCCAGGCTCAACAGACCCAAGATGTCCACAAACACCAAAACCCACATCTCCTCCAGTATGCTACTCTGGCTCACCTGACCCTAGGTGTCCCCAAACACCACGGCCAACAGCTCCACCCACAATTTCACCTCCATCATGTTATCCTGGTTCATCGGACCCACGATGTCCTCAAACACCTAGGCCCACCATCCCGACAACTATTGCTCCACCATCTTGCTACCCAGGTTCAACAGACCCCAGATGTCCCCAAACACCGCGGCCCACAGCCCCACCCACCGTAGCACCACCTTCTTGTTATCCAGGCTCTCCAGACCCAAGATGTCCCAAAACTGCAGCACCCACCCCTCAGCCGACATCTCGCCCCAATTGTTATCCTGGGTCGTCTGATCCAAGATGCCCCCAAACTCCACGACCTACACCTCCAACTGCCTACTTACCTCCTGTTATGACACCGTTTGTTTGTGTTTGTAACGGAACGACTGCAAGACCAGAAATACCTCCTTTGTGTTACCCAGGCTCTACAGATCCACGGTGTGGTCCACCACCATCAGCAACTTTGCCCCAACCTAATTTGATCCCTTCCGCCTCTAAATGTTACCCTGGTTCGCCTGATCCTGAATGCTCAGTTTATAACACCGGTATCTCATCTAGTCCTGTAGACAATACTCCATCAAATTGTTACCCCGGATCACCTGATCCGAGATGTCCAAAACCGAATCGACCACCGAACAACTTTGTGCCGGCAACTTATTTGCCACCTTTGTCTTCAAAACCCGTAAACTGCGTTCCAGGCAGTGCGAGTCCAGAATGTAATGAAGTAATAACAGACGATGCCACAGGAAGTAGGCTACCGAACTGCGGGCCTGGAAGTCAAGACGCAAGGTGTTTTGGAAACACAGATGAATCCGAAGATGGATCAAATATTTCCCCAGATCTCGTAGGATTTAAGAAAGGAGTTTCTTCTTCAAACTCCGAACTATCCGATGATGATGATTATCACAGAAAAGACGAAGATCCAAGATATCATGCTTTTCACTCGTGTAAGTATCAGAAACAGATGAAAGATTCAATTTTTTGAACCTCGGCAATAACGTACCTACAGCAGTTTAACTTAAAAAATGCATTGATGTTATTATATTGAAATATTAAAACTCAAACTACAGCAAAAATTTTACGAGGTATACTTTCAGAAAAATAAGTGATGACGTAAAGATCGGCTCGTTTTAAAACGTGATGCGTCATGTTTGACTGTTGTTGCCTAACAAATGCACTGTTCTGAGGGAAAATGCCGTAAAAACCTTTAGACGTTGCCAAATTTACTGTGATTAGATATAAATTTCAGGGAGGTCTGTGAATATTTTATTTCGACTCGGTATTTCGAAAAAATTTTCTACCCGATCAGATTTAAATTTGTTGAAAATTTCGAGAGAAAATAGGTATGCATAACTTTCCTAAAAAAAGACAATTTATCGGAGGAAAGGCAACACTCAAATATTCTAATGATATCACAGCAGATATTCCTCTTGGTTTTCAAAGATCCCCAGACTTCTAAACTCAAATGTAAAAGCACAGAATATTCGTCGAAAAGGTCAGTCTCAGGTGTAGTTCCATGTACTTTTCCGCAATTTTTTTTCCTAGGGGGCTCAAGATGCTAATTTTTAGTTCATAACACGAAGAAAAATTCCATTGAGATTTAATTATTTTGCAAATTCTCAAAATTTTTGCACAAAATCTTCGGATTGGGGCCGTTTCTCTTTCGTAGACTGACATAAAAGTACATTTGCAATTTCTTATTTTATTTTTTCTTCGTTTAATTAATTCGTTCTTTTTTGTTTTTATTTGCTTTCATAGTTCTTTTTGAACCTCTAAAGCAACGGAGGAGCAAGTACGGACAGCGGCAGGTGCAAGACGTGCTGAATTTGTTGAAAAGGGAAGTAGAGCAAGAGATCGGTGCTGACAACGTCCGTGGCCTCGAACAACTTGAGGATGAACTTATTCGAGAACTGAACGGTTCAAGCTAGCTTCGAAATGAAAAAAAAATCGTTTGACGTTAATCAAATTTTTTGACTGAATTTTAACCTGCTAAGGGCTCTTGTGTAAAACCCTCCATCTTATCGGTTTGTTTTAGAACTGAAATTTGGAGATTGATGCCTATCGATGCGCGGTGGAACTATCAAAAAGCAAGTCCCAATCTCTCAAGTTTCAAATTTTCTGTCATAATTTATTTTTATGACGAAAAGTTGGCCATCATTTCATTTAAACCTTTTTTATTGTTTTAATTTTTTAGGTTCTTTCTGATTCTTGCCTCTGAATGATGCGCAGAGAGTTTTCTAGGATTATTTCAGTTTGTTCCTATCTTTGAAAAACAAAGTAGGGGCTAACATTTTGAAGCACTGAGAATGAATGCAGGATCAATTTTTATAGTTCCACCGCTTTAAAACAACACTGCTCTCAAACAATGCCAAGCAAATAATAATCACATTGTTAAGTTGGTAGCTTCAGGAAGTCAAATGTATCAAGTCTTGTGATAGGTTTACCTATATATCTCTTGGTGTGCTGCAACACAACAAATTATAAATACCTTTCTGCCCGTCCGGCTCATTCAAGTTTCTGATGGTCTGTGCTAAAATAATTTAAATGCGCCCCTAGCTAAGCAATAATGATTCCTCGTTCGATACGAGTGTGTCGTTGCTCAATTATTGCAGATAAGATATAACTGGCTAAAAACGTAGAATTTACCTATGAATAATATCCTCTACCCATTCTTCTGAATGTAGCACAAAGAAAATATTACTGTCTTTTCATTCCTTTGTCAATTTATGTTATTTGTATGTCGTATATGTTATTATCTGTGATGAGGAAATTATTCTAACGCTTTATGGTTTAGCTGTGAACGAATTATTTATTAGATATTCCTTTGGTGAGGAGTTATGTGCCTCCAGTTTTTGGAAAAGCCGCTGTGATCGGTGATTTGTGGTACCTAGTCGCTTTTTCTTTTAAATGTGACCATGTCATGGGTGGGCACTTAAGCAGCTTATAAACGGCTCAGTTAGGAGAAAAGTTCGCAATGTTCGTTGGAATATCTCAGATAATAGCGCCGCGCCGTCACGCTGGAAATTAGAAAACAATCTCACTGTAAACGCGGCTTGTCTATGTCGCCTTCAATCACGGAGGATGCAAACCAACATACGTGCCTTCTTCATCGTATGCCGTCATTTCAATCCGAGCTCACAATTCCACAGTTGGCGGCGTGCAAGCGTGTAACTGCAGTGCCAACCATTTTTTGACATTGCGAGTAAAACGTAAATGCTATGCCGATCATCTGCACCAATTACCTGTCTTTGTATATGTAGGTACCATATTTAAAAATATTAACCCAAAATGAAGTAAAATAATAAGCCTGTCGAGTCAGTACGTATTACTTAATAAAATATTGAAGTTTTTAAGTTTACTTTTAAGATCACAACGTTCTCCTTTTTGTAAAAAAATTACTCAAATGTTTGTAAAAGCGTTGATAATATTCGATGAATCATTCTTAACCGAGAATATTACTAAGTTACCGAGTAAAGAACAGTAGGTTACCAGCGTTACCCCATTTAGTGTCTCTTACGGATTCTCCGATTTTCTCATCCGATAATAATTTAAAATAGTGCCATAATTATTGAGAAAATGATGCAAACGAATCGTAGTGCGGCACTAAAAACCGCAATTTAGAGCCTTCCATGTGCTGTATTGTAACGCACAGCTGGAACAGTATCACTTGCATACTAAATTAAAGTTAGCCCCCGCGCAATAGAACGTCCAGCTAAGTGCAAACTTTGTATCGTATTTTCGTAGGTAAATACCTACTTTTCAGATTTATCGCTTGCATGTTGGCTATACCAATCTCCTCTGGCCACCCTGCTATTTTGCATGGATTTTCCTGTACCTAGGTACCTATACCTAACTGTGAAGGAGGAACAAAAACTACCTATGTGCAAACGAAAGAATAATAAGATTACAGGTCCGAGATCTGCTCCTCAGAATTATCCCAAGTGCGTGTACCTACTCTGCACACTCATAGTATTGAATTATCATGAAAATTTAGGGGGCTTTTAAACATTGCTCCATCGTGTATTTTAGCATCTAAAATTTACAATTTCTTGTACTTACCTCTGAGCCCTGTGAATTTTCTCTCAAATCAAAAATATACGTAATTTGTTCTCTTTTCATTTCAAAAAGGCCTTTAGTTCCATTACCTATTCTTTTACCATTGCATGAGTTTCTTTTTCGTTTAAGTCATTTTTTTGTCATCGTCGGGTGAATTTTGACCGTCCACCGAGACAAAATCTACACAGCCCAAGTAGCATTTTTCAACGGAAAAATCGCGATTCGTTGCGATTTCGTCGGCGATAAAATCGCTAAGATCGTCAACATCCGAGCGATTATCCTCGTTCTTGTTGCAATAAAATCGCGATTTCATCGCTTGACAATTTATCGCGATATTATCACAACAAAAATCGCGATATATGGCGATTTCATCTCGACTTAATCGACGAAAATTGATTGCGATTTTATTGAACGAAAAATTGCGATGTATAGCGATTTAATCGCCATAAATCGCAATTTTTTATTCGATAGTATTGCGATATATTGCCACCCATATAATCACGATAATCATCCGATGAAATCGTTATTTTTCGCGATCACTGCTACTTGGAAGAAGGATGATTTTTGACAAATCCGGTAACATAAGAAAAAACGGATTTTCAAATTTTGATGGAACACTTTTTTAAGTCTAGGGACTCCTCCAGGAGATTCTATCAGGCAACTGAATAGCTGCCTGATGGAATATCAGCTCATTTTTGTGCCAAAAAGGGACGTAAAACGATACTAGAACTCGGTAGTTCCGTCGAGATCATAAATAGAACAGATTGGATGTGAAACAGCTATTTCTCGAAACTAAGTGCGAGACCGGAAACTTCAAATCATCTATAAAGACTCCAGTGTGCTACCCATCCACTTCCTCAATCAATAGTCTGTTATAAATGACTCAATTTTGAGCAATTAGAAAGCGGCGCACTTTAATGGTAAAGAAAGGATTGAGATTTTCCTACATACCGACGGTGAAACTACCAAACCACGTATCTCGTTTGCGGTGTTTAAAAATCTACGCTCACATTTTATTTTTTTGAAGTAGACCAAATCAATATCATTCCTCGAAATTTTCACAGAATTTTCTTCGCACAAAGAGGAAAAATCGCAGAAATTTTCTAGACTGGACGTTAAGTAGTTTTTCATTTAAAAAATAAAGTATGACAGGAAGTCTGCGACGTCGCAAACCGAGATACGTGGTTTGGTAGTTTCACCGTCGATACGTAGTATCTCATTCGAGAGCTACGACTGACGAGTCCCGTGCATTTCTAAAGGAGTAGAAAAAGTAGGAGCGCCTTCAATTTTTGGATAGGCAACACGCACGTTCGTAGAACACGAATAATTGCATCAAAGCGCCGCAATCAACTCACGTCAGTCTAGCTGTCGTGACATATTGCTCGGTTAGCGTATAAATTACATTTAAAGTTACGACCGGCTCCCTTGGCTCAATTTTCAAACCCTTGACCGACCAGTCCATAAACTGGCTAGCCATTTCACGCACTGGGCAAGAACATCGGTCATTTCGCGGACTTGGCAATGGGGATACCGGGATACCCAGTCCGCGTACGGGGTAAAAATTTTCAATCCTTGGACTGGGCAATTTTGCCAACGCGTGTAACACGCACACTGAAAAACCGAGTGATTTATAAACATTTTCTAAACAGAATTCTTGCTAATAGCCGTGTTTTACAAATATATTACAGTTTTTTACCACATGATTATTATTCCACCGACGGTAGTTCCAACGCATTTCCTACAGGAAAAAAACTTACCTACTGAGGAGATGCAAATAATGCATTCCTAAAAAAATCATGATTTCACAGGTATCGACTATTTTGAAAACAACTTTGCCTTCTTTTCAAATTTTATTTTCTCAATGAAGAATCATATATCGACGGTGTAAGTCGGCAATCACATAACTCGTTTGCGGTGTCTGAAAATCTCCGCATCTATGTTAATTTTTCAAAGGTGAACAAATTGACACCATTCCTTGAAGTTTATGCAGAATTTTCTTCGCACAGAGAAGAAAAATCACGGCAGTTTTAAAGAATTGCCGTTGAGTAGTTTTCCGTTTAAAAAATCAAGGATGACAGGAAGTCTGCGACGTCGTGTCGCAAACCGAGTTATGTGGTTGCCGACTTACACCGTCGATATACGTTTCGCGCATAGACCAGTGACCGCAATGTGTTTAGTGCAATGCGTGAAGTATTCATGCAGTCTTGTAGGCGCCAATGTGCCCTGCGCGTCGGCCGACGACCGCACCGTGTTTGGTGCGATGCATGAAGTATTCCTGCAGTCTCGTAGGCGCCAATGCGCGTCGCAAACCGAGTTATGTGATTGCCGACCTACACCGTCGATGTACATTTTGAATTTAATCTATTATTGGTATTTAAACTGAACCGTATGATAATCGCAGTTTGATGGTATTTTTACGAAGTTCCAAACTGAGGAGACGGAAAACCAATTACCTATTAGAATTGCAGTCATGTTATGCCTATATCAAAAAAATGATTTCCCGCATCAATTTTGCATTCTCTTGCATGAAAGGACTAAAAAGATTTTCATCTCCTAGGTAAAAATATTAAAATGAGGCGGTTTATCAGCTCTCAACACTTTAAATAATGAACATGGCAAAATATTAATGATAAGGAAACAACAGCATGGGTCGGGAAGTTGAAAAATCTCGAGGTACCTTAATAGTACGCCTAGTAAAATAACTCTGAGAAAAAAATGTGTAACTGGTATTTTTTAAGAGTTTGAAACTTGTTTGCAAAAGAGCTTGTAAAGAAGATGAAAATATAGTCAGCGTTCAGGAATTTTACAAGAGAAAATTGTGATCAAAGAGGTAATGAAAAGTATTTTACACTTTTCATGTACTTACCTCGCAAAAAATTATGCAAACACAGTTTGTTTTTTGTGTATTTTAGGCTATAGTTTTCTTAGGATATTTTGTTTTGTGAATTTTACTTTACGTGGTACTAGGGTGAAGTGGCAAAAAAATAATTTTTGACATCCTGAAAGAGGAGTATAAATGATAGAAAAATCTGTCAATCCCTAAATGCTGCACTTTCTTACGGGATTCCGCTTTGGCAAAAGATCTTTCAATTGTCAGTTTAATAGCACAGAGCATATTCATTAATGTTGCTCAAATGTGTTCGCTAAAAGTGTAATGCCAGCATTATTATTTCTTCAGTGACTGTAAGTGAATGTAAAAGGAGAAAACAGAAGTATGCAGTACGGGAAAATTGACTAATTTATTAATCAAGAAGAGTAGCATAAAGTACATACAGTTGCATGACTGTTTTGGTGTTTCAAACACACAGCATGGTAAGTATGGCCGCACTTGAAGGCAATTAAACCACCATTATTGGCAGCAATTAAGGCTTTTGCGCCCAATGAAAGAGAACACAAATGACAGAATTCTTCAGATAGATCTAATCTCACTCCCCAGTGATGGTTTTCAGGACTGTCTTCCTCCCGTTTTTGATAGCAAAAATCACTAATACCATCCAAACGTGCAGCAGTATCAAAAGCTGCAGCCACCTGAAACAAATAGTATAAAAAACAATATTACTGAGGCTTGTAATGGCATAGTAATTTATGCCCACTCATCATTTTCTTTGGTGCAAGAGAATAGTAGAATAAAATACAGAAGAGCCAGCTAAAAACACTCACTGCCTGTTAACATGAAAAAGTTTTCCAACACATTTTGAAGCTTGATCACAAAAACGAAAGTATTAATGAGCGGGGAATGTTTAATCGTACCTGACTTTCTAGTACATATTTCAATGTGTTGAATTCCCTTCAGTAGTTCAAACTCTTAAATTATTTTGATCCACATGAGAAAAGTAAAGTCTCAATTGTCAATGGAAATAGGCAGAATAGTTTTTAATACAACAATTACAGTTACATCTTCATTACAAAAAGTTTTAAACAGATTGTCCTACAGAAACTTATTCATTTTATAGAAATGTTCTTTGAAAAAAAAAAAAATATCATAACGACCAAGACTAAATTTTTAAGTTTTTTAGTAAATTAGTCTGACAGTATACTTAAAACACTTTTGATTTGGGATCAGTTCAAATTCAAACACTGATTCCAATACTTAAACTTGGCGTTTTGATAATGTAATGCTTTACATAAAAAAGGCACATTGAAAGAAGTCATTTTCTTCATGGTAGTGCTTATCATGGCTTCTTTTGATTTAATCTCATTTGATGAAAAACATATTTTCAAGTTTTGCATGAAAATATTCATATACAAATTAAACAGACAGAGCACATTGAAAGATCCTTTTCTAGAAAAATTTACCCTTACAACCTGTCGGTCCGCATTCTCTTATTTAATCTGTGTAAACAAATGTAGAACATAACTCATCTAAAACCAAGTCCTGCTCTTTTTATATTCTCACACTTTTGACTTTTTCACAGAATTCGAGTAAGAATTTTTGGAATTGAATACAAAATTGGAAGATCAGTCTTTCTGCCAAAATTCAATTTTTTAACAAATTTTGAAAATCTACTGACTTGCAAAAACAAGCTAGAAATGAAGAAATTTAGGACATAACATTACATCAATGAATAGAGAATAAAATACTCACATCTGGCGAAAATACCGGGATCCCAGAAACTCCTTTAGATGAGCTACTGACAAGATTTACTACTTTTTCTCGTAGACCAGTCTGATGAGCGTCGACCATTTCTGACAGTATAGCACATTGGTAGACGCACAAATCCAGCGATGTTGATGGTATTTCATCACTATACTTCTGTAAAAGATCTATCGTTGTCTTTGAATCAATACACTTTAAAATTATACAACAAAGCTCCGTCCATGGTACCCCATAGCTCATTGATGACAGTAAACTATTTTTGTAGCCACAATTAAGACATACTCCTCTTTTGCAAATGATGTTGAGGATTATAACTTTTTCAAATAGGTTAATATTTTTGACGGTGAGCATGTTATTGGACCTAGTTATTAAGTTAAGTTGAATCATTAAAGAAACAGCAGATGGTATGTACAAAATTACATCAGTCAGGGACAAGACATACTTCCATAGTCTTGGAATACATTGACAAATAGTAATTATTTCTTTTAATGAGGGAGTTACACAGCTACTCACTAGTTTTAATAGTTTTTCTTTCTTTGCTTCCTGAATGGGGTCATTATTTAAAATTGCTTTTAAATCGGTAAGAACAACTACTTTAGAACTTTTATTACTTTGTGATGAATCAGCAGAACAGTCTGCAGATGTGCATTGTTGTGAATGCAAGCTCCAGAAGTGATCGATTATTAAATATCCTATTTCAGCAAATTTTAGCGGTGGTAAATTTACTCCGAATGATGGAAAACAACAATTGGAGCAAGAACTAAATGAGGATGTAGAGTTGATACTCAAAAATGAATTTACAACATAGGCAAGAACAATATCGTCATACAAAGAAATTGGATGGTTTTTAACTAAAAGCTTACTTAAATACAATAAAAACAATCTATGGCACTTTTCCCTGGCATCTACTGCACTCAGTCCTGTTGATGAAAGATGCATTTTCAATTTCATAATTGTGTACACCACAAATCGTAGGTTCACTTTGCCCTCGATTCCCATTTGAGAACTAGTTTCGATTTGGTCCAATCTTAACATGAGAAACATTGTGTTCAACAATAAAGCCAATGGCCATTCAGAATAGTTAACATCAGAACAATCCTTACTATTTGCCACGAACTGGAAATCGCCATTTTGAAAGCGATGAAGAATGGTGCAAAAAGACTCATAGCTACACTTCATGGACGTGCAGTTTAAGCATTGAAGAATAAGAAATGGATCTAATATTTCAGAAAAAACAGAGAGTAATTGACTGACGAATTCGTCCAGAGCTATTTCGTTTTCAGAGTGAAAGTCGAGCAATAGTGTTGGATAGTTGGACTTCTTGAAATTTAAATTTTTAAGAGCTGATTCGTTTTCTTGATGCCATTCAGTAATTAAATCTGACTTCAATGCTTCATGAAATACCCGCTGAATAATGGATATATCTTTTTCCTTGAAATATCTAGAGAATGGCAAAAGTGACGTTTGTAGATTTGCTGTTGTCTTCAACTTTTTCAGTTTTGATTGGTAGTCTGAAAATAACTTTACTACCTCATTTAAAAATTTGAAAACATTATCTGCTTTAAGATCACCTTCTAAGAGATTGTCTAGTTCATCACATATTTGTAACATATTAGTGATGTTTATATCTGGAAGGTGGGATTTCTTCTTGCGAGGGCGGTCAACAATTGATTGTGTTTCATCAAAATCAGGGACTATGTTCACACTACTTTTACTATTCAAATAATTGTCACTAATTATAGATTCTTCATTGTTTGTATCGGATTTTAATAGTCTAAGTTTTCCTTCTAGTATTTGCCACTTTTCATGCAAACTCCTGGTACCATCCACTAATTTTTCAGTCACGTTGGTTCCTAATTCTAATAACGTATCATGAAAAGCATCAGGATTTGCAAGCATTAAAAATGGAAAAGGTACATTAGAATCATACTCTCCTAAGTCGTCCGAATATGGCTCATCAAAATCATTTTCATTATTCTCCATTTCTGACACATAATCAAGTGGAATTTTCACTGCTTCATTTAAATTTGGTAATGATTTGGATAAAGTTTTGTCGAGCAGCTTTTTTTTCTTAGACTCGCATGATAAACTGTATGATCGTCTCCGTCTTCTAAATCGTTCTTGTCTTTTGTGAAGAACTTTTGACTGACTAGAATAAAAGGAAGAAGAGTTATTAATAATCTGAGAATTTAAGTGATGATTCTCAACAAGAAAAATACCTGAATCTAATTTTGAAATTGGACTGTGGTTTATCTTTTGTAATTTGTTAAAAAGAGGCTTAAGGTCACTGAGTAGATCCAATTGATTTATTTGTAATAAATGATTTTCTAGCTCTTTCAAATGATATAAATACGTTAACTTATTCCACTTTAACAAAGTACTTAAATGCAGGGCGCATAGCTCAGCACAAACTAAGAACATATCTTTATAAAAAAGTCTTAACAAACATTTATCCAAACTCATTACCTTCAATGCATGAACTTCACCTGTGGTAGTGTACATGTATATTGAATCTCCTACGCACTTGAGATCAGCAATGTTCTTAACATGGTTTGACCACAACAAAACATTAACATTACTATCTACATTAAAAAAATACACTCCATCGTTTTTAAACGTCAACAAGAACTTGTCATGGACGACAAGTAGCTGGTTAAAATTAAAAGATTGGCTATTCCAAGTAGTGTCCTTGTGACAAGCAATTATTTTAGGTTCATCATACAGTGAGACGACAGTTGCAGGTGGAACGGCTAAAGCTTTTTTCAGCTCATAAGTGGCTTCTACAATACCATCTGTATCACATTTCCAAAGACGAGAGCCAGGCCTGGCACAAAAAATTTTCAGCGCATCTTTTACCGGCATGAAACATGCTCCAAATTCACCATCACGCAATTTCTGCCCTACTTGCTTGTACTGTTCTTTAATTGTGTCACAGATGTAACAACGGGTTAAAGTTGAGGCTAGCAATAAACCAGACTGACAGCTCATTTGAACTACTTGTGAATCTAACTGCATCAAAGTGAATACTGGAACTTGAAACATTGTCTTGCTCTGTAACAAAGTAAACAAATAGAATCCTTCAAATTCGATATTCAGTGTATTTGAAGATGTGACCGCCCTTGGGGGAGGATATGGATTTAGTTCATGAATAAAAAAATTTTGGTAACGCAATTTTCGTTCAACTTTTGAGCAATATTATTGGATCCAAAAACTAGATTTTAAAATTACAACACAAAACTCTCTTGAAATTTCTATAGAAAAAGTTTTTAAGCAAATAAAGGGCCTTAATTTCTCATTATGATCTAGCAATTTCTTACCCTAATCATTAGGATTTTAAATAGATCCTCTGAAAGCAACATTTTTTGAACTGAAGACTTAAAATCACCATAACTCCAGTTCGATTTGATGATTTTGGGCGTTTTGGGTCCCAAAATTTTCTGGAGACATTTTTCCATATTCTGGTGTTTGATGACTGGTATTTGAGTTTCTCTTGAACTAAGATCTTTTTCCCCATGGACAGTCACTTAGATCCATTCTTTTTATTCATTCCTTTAAATAATATCGTCACTGTATTTGAGAACATTATAAATATTAACTTCACATGCAGAGACTAAAATAACCTACACCTCAATAAATTAAGAGTTTTTGCACAGAAACGATAGAGACAGGATTATTCCAGACCATTACTTAAAATTATACCTCTTCCTGGGGCGATAAACTGATTTCTGTGTTGAGTTTCTCAGAGGTAAAGTCAATTTTTGTAGCATACTGAATTTATCAACATGCTGGTCATTTTTTTCATTAAAAATGTCATACTTAATTCTTATGAAGTTTTATTCCTACATATTGGTAGGTTTTCGAGACATTTAATGAAGAATATGCTCATATGCGGTTCTTGTGAATGTATTTTAGCAGACATTAAATTGAGTCATGCCGCTAGCACCATTTCTTAGGGCCATGATCTACTCCAAAGTTGTTCTCAATGTGCATTACATGCAAATGCAGAATATCTTGTTCAGCATTGCTTTCCATCAATTACATTTTAGTCTGAAGATACAACACACTTCTTTGCTCCCTAAAACATGACAATGTCTAGGGCACACTCAATAGATAAGAAATATTTCAGTTAAAATAACTTAAGAGTAGAAAGTTCAGACTCTTTCTAGTAGACTCTTGGGAAGTTCACAACAATCATAATAGGTACAAACCATTGCAGATGTCAAATTGAGAACTGAAATTTTGCCGCTTTTATCACCCGCAAACACTTGGAGATTGTTCTCAGACCATTGCAGAGTAGTAACTTCGGAATCCGCATGTTCGACTGACCTATTTATCATTCTTGCTCCGAGGCCTTCATTTCGTTCGAGAATACCAACAACACCTTTCAGTGTTGCAAAAGCTATGAAAGCCTCATTTGGAGAAACAGAGATAAGACTGACAGCTCCTTCCTGTAATTTGAAAAAGAAATAGAATCAGTTTAGTAGGTATTTTGTGAAATTATGTATGTCTCCCTCAAAGTTACAGTTTCACGAAACTTAGGTACTATTTTAAGACTGAAGATCCAATAAATGAGTTACGTTAAAAAATATAGGTTTTTTTTTTATTTTTCACTGCAAAATAAAAGAGAGAGATGAAAATTTCACAGGACAAAGCTTTTCAGGACTGGAGATAGTTGGCAAATAGGTAATTTGCCTTAGCACTGACAAGTATACTTTTTGATCATTTGACCTGGAAGGTCCTTCAGAAAGAAAAACCATGAAAAATATCTGTACGTATATTTAATTTGTAGATAATTTACAATACAATAATATTGCGAACTAGGTGTAATAATAAGAGTATCATGAATGTGTTACCTTGTTTGGTATAAGCTGAGAGTAAGCAAAAGGTTCTCGATAGAAAACATATAATCCGCCACTCGTAGCTCCAAAGATTAGAAAACTCTGGGAAGCAGTAAAACAAGTGTACTGGAAAAAAAGAACAAGAATATTAATACCATGATGACATTTAATATGCGTTTTCAAACCACTGAACTGCATTTCAAAAAGAAATTTGACTGACAGTAACTATTACTGAACATAATGAAGGAGACATTCCATAGTTCCTTAGAAAGTGACGGTAAATCACTCGACGAGAGGTAATTAATATCTACTTGGCAAGATAACTTTTCAATTTAACACATATTATTCATATTTACCATTTTTCCACAAATAGATACTTTACATAAGATTTGGTGCGGTGTCACTGAGAAAGTGTTTCACAGAATACAGCGATGTCAGTAATAACAATTCTATACCTACGGAGTCAAAAAACCTGCAGAGCTAGGTAGACCCTTGATATGCTTACTTGAGACTTGGTGACGAAATGCTTAAGGAGTCCTTGTAAAGATGGCAAGAAACAGGAGAGAGCTACAGTAAAAAGTACGGTTCTCAACTTGAGGAGAAGTGAGCAAGAGATCGGGTTTAACAAAAGGCTTTTACACTGTGCAAGTTTTGGAGAATTACCCAGGTTTGACTGGGGCATATTGTCTTAGCAATACACCAAGCCTGGATTATTCAAATAAATCAATATACTGGTCTTCTAAATTTTATTTTTGATCCTGCGTGCAAGTAACATCATTTTTCGTAGCTAGAACTGTGGTCTTAAAGATGCATTGAATAAGTTCAATCTTAGATGACAGCGGTCCTCACGCACTGACATGCATGAAGACTATGGATATTTCTCTCAATCAGAAACCTAAGAGATAGCATTGGATAGCTGGTACATGCTGTCCGAGAAAAAGAGGGCCTGAGTAAATAATCTGAGGCAGTTGCGCAACTCGGTTATGAGGATACGATTTTCCAGGCATTATTCCTTGAAAAATAGTTGTGCGAATTTTAGCTATACGAATGTTACGATGTGGTAGCGTAACTGACCGATTTGCAGTTTCGTTGCAAGAAACAAAACATAATATCAAATTATTCACTCAAGTATGAGGTCCTCAACGTTACATAAGTTCAACAGCGTACCTTGATTCTGTTGGATGATTTGAGAGGAGCTGAAACATCAGAAAATGTGTTGGGCTCAAGCAGAATAAACGGTGGATCATCTTCGCTCATTCTGTCATATAATTATTCAAATTCAACGACTATAATAAAACTTATTCATTAAAAACAGAGATAAGGGCAAGTTGATTGATAACAAAGCCATAACCTCAAAATAAAATAATTAGGTCAGGTTGGCCGTGAAGAAATTCTAAATTACACACGTGCAATCTTTTGTTTTCATATTTTCAGAATTGTAAACGTACACATTTTCTTTATAAAATGAAGCATGACTTATGTAAATTATTTCTGTAAATATGAGATACTGTATGAATTTTCACTCGTGGGCAGACGTAATTTACCAATATTCGTCATATTTTGAAAAAAGGAGATGAGAAACTAGAAACTAGAGTCTTGGGAGCGACAACACTGAATGCAAGGCTCGAGATTGCCGCGAATTTCAAACTTGTGAAATTAGATGGGAAGATCCAATATGATACGGCTGATATCGTTAAAATAAAAAAAAAAAAAACCCCCTTCGTATACTCGTGGTAAAAATAGTACCACAATTATTGATTGATTTTTTTTATTTAAAAAAAAAAAAAAAACGAAAATAACTAACGACGCAAATAAAATTCAAGAGGGGCGCACTACATGCATATTATCCTTTGTAATTGTTCATGATGATTTAATCACTGAGAACTGCCTCCTAAATCAGATAGCGCTCAATTTCAACACCTTATCCGTTGCCAGAAATTGAATCATGCCGTGCGAAAACCGCTAAAGTCCATTTTTCAATCTTGAGTTTTTCGGGGTTAATAATACTTTTCACATCCGAGTTATATGAAAATAAAAGTGGTGTTGATACTCGTTTTAGGGTTATTAATTCTAAAACGAGTTCGTGCACCACTTTCATGATTGTATCGACTCAAGGAAAGTATAATTGACACATAAGAAATGAAAGCTGCAATAATATATGTTAGTGGTTCTCGCATTTCACGATTCAGATTCAAGTAACTCAGTGAGTTCGCCCAAGTGCCCAAAGTGCCCAAGTGAGGCGCTTCAAGTTCGCCTTCAATTTCGAGTGATACTATGCCACGCTCAGGTGGTCGAATAGTTTCCTCGCGCGTATGTATACGCTGAGTATGAGATAGATTGCGTTCATTTTCATTGTTATTCTTTAAAATCCCTTTAACTGTCGCAGGAATTGACTTAGTGAGTTGGTGCTTTCAATTCGCCTTCAATCGCCGTCACTTGTCTTTTCTTCAAAATTTACGTAAAAAAACTATTCACACAACGGTAAGTTCGGAGATTAACTTTTGAACGAAATATTAACAAATCGTTGATCAAAGTGCGAAGCCACGTATCTCCTTTTAGGACGTTGCAGGCTCCCTGCCATACTTTATTTTTTCTTTTGAAAACTACTCAACGTAATTGATTTAAAACTATCTTGATTTTTTCCCCCTTCAGCAAAATATTATATTATACATTTCAGGCTATGAAGTTAGCTTCCTCCTCATTTAAAAAAATTTAAAAAAATGAGTTTTGAAAAATGAGGGAATTTCGATCGCTCGACGTCGATCGATGGAAATCTAACCCTACATTAACTCTTAACCTTGGTAATAACGTTTTATATGAATAAATTCAAACTTTCCGCTCCTGGAAGAAAGCATAATTTATTTGGGTTGAATTGCACGTTAAACGTGACTATGACAGTCTCAGCAATCTGTAAATATGGCAACTTCAATCTTGACGCTTTGGCTCAGCTACAGCAAGCTGTACCCACACTTTGAACGACAACAGTATGGGAATAAAACAATATACTCGATTGAGTAGTCTGCTGAAGCTGTTGATGCGCGATTTGACTCGCGTAGAGTATTTTTTTTCTTGTGACCGGGCAATTCAAATTTTCCGAAACCAATGTACAATAAAAACGTTAATATCTTAGCTAGGGGTTCATATCGGTAAGTAGTTTTCGTTGCGCGAACCGTGTTCTACGTGAAATTGTGGTGAGGAATCAAGTATTAAAGTGCTTAAGTTCGTACCATGTTTAATGGTCCATTCAATCAAGAAAAAAAAAAAGAAAAAAAAAACCATAGCTAACTTTCCTAACTTTTCTTATCGGGAGAAACGAAGTAATGCTGGAATGCTCATATGGCGTCGAAACTGTCAATATGAGCCTTGTAAGCCCCATTATTCGATACAGCGATTATCGCGAGTTCGAACAATCGCGCCAGTCACAGTGCGGCCGGCGCACGGTGGATCGAGTCAATGGGTGAGGTCGGTCATGGAGCGTTGCGCTTCCAATGTTACGAGGATAACGAATATTCCTGGTCATTTGATCGATTATGTACCTCATATCACATGTAATTTTTCGCGTAGAATTCATTTTTGTTGCTATTTTTGGTGAACAACGTACCTGAAGACCCGAATTTGTGCATTTTGTCGGGAAAACTATACAGGTGCAAAGTTCAGGCGTCTGTGTTTTACTTCGTAGGACGGAGTTTTTAATTTTTCATGATGGAAGAGGATAAATTATGAATAAAATAATGAAAACTTACTAATAAGTGTCACAAATACGCAAAAATACTTCCCCAGTTATGAGCTGCTGAATCAGATAAATCATTCCCTTCACTGCAAAGTTAATTTCGAAACTTTGTCATAAGATATCATTCTTATGCATAAAGATCGGTGAGAAAACAAATGAAATACATTTATGAATTCTTTGAAAATATTCAAGATCACTTTTACTTTAAATTCATATTTACATTCAGAGGACGGAACAGGGACTTAGAGTAGGAAAAACACTAGATGGCTAGAAAAAAAAAAGAAAAGAAAAAAAAATTTAAACATGTAACAGTCATCTGGCATCTGCTTCTCCTTATTCTTCTTCTTCATATTCAGTTCCCCATCACTCTCATCCTCGTCTTCCGCTCTCAAACCGCATCAAACTTAAAAAACAAGCAACGCAAAAAATCGCAAAAATTCCAAAATTTCCCGGACTTGTAACGTTAAAACGTACTCGCAGTGTAATTAGTTTCGCACTAACTGCACTTTGTTTACATCGAAATGGGTGAAAAATTAAAAAATATGTACGTATTTGAAAGAAGCATCAGTTATCAGAGTTCACCAGTGACCGGTCGCGCGCGATCGCGGAGGCCAACAGATAAAATGGCATCATAGTCAGGGGCCAGGCAAGTAAAGGGGGGGGGGGTTACTTGCTAAAAGTTTCCTCAAGCTAGCTATCTACGCATACGTCCCAAAAATTCTTTCTATAAGGAATATAAGGGATGTCCGAGTGAAAATATGCCCGATTTTTTTTTAGTTCTCCTATAGATATGTAGTTTAGGAAATAATGAAAATACGAAAAACGGGCCAAAGAGCACGTCTTGATGGTGAAACTTGTTTTTCAGTTTCTGATGAACAGGAATCATACCTACCTGGGTCATTTAGCAGTTACGAGAGTTCACTGGTCGCTTGATTTTCGAGATAAGGCTCGCGCGCAATCTCGGAATGCAACAGAAAAAGTGATGTCACGGCCAAAGTGGCGCAAAGTGGCACCCAAATTTTGCGGGATCGTATTCTCAGGACTCCTACGAACATGCCTATACAAATTTTTCTGGCGGATGGTGGAGGATGGGTCGTTAAAAGTTTACCTTAACTTTTTTTTTCTGCATTTTGATATAAGCACATTAGTGCAAACATAATCATTGAAAAAATGGACCGAATACAAAAAATTACTAGTGCAATGTGTTCTCCAGACTCTGGAAAATAAGAATATTTCAATGAAATTAGCATTAATGTAAACAGAAGCAAGCTAAGTGCCGCGGTAGCTCACCGGTCGCTTAATTTTATAGATAAGGCTCGCGCACAATCTCGGAACGCAACAGAAAAAGTGACGTCACGGCCAAAGTGGCGCAAAGTGGCACCCAAATTTTGCGGGATCGTATTCTCAGGACTCCTACGAACATGTCTATACAAATTTTTCTGGCGGATGGTGGCGGATGGGTAGTTAAAAGTTTACCTAAATTTTTTTTTTTTCGCTTTTAGAAATGAGCACATTAGCGCAAACATAATCATTAAAAAAATGGGCCGAATACAAAAAATTACTAGTGCAATGTGTTCTCCAGACTCTGAAGAACAAGAATATGTCAATGAAATTAGCATTAATTTAAACAGAAGCAAGTTAAATGGAATAGAAAGACTCGGACGATTTGTCGCTAAAATAAAAAGTTACGCAAAGCCCCTCTTTGATGCCTTCTGTCACAAAAATGAACATGTTTCGTTCCAAATCAATGTCAGATCCTTAAAATATAACTCTTGAGGAACACTTTTGACCCTTAAAAAATGCGATTCGCCCGAATCGCCCATGACCGACCTGTACCATTGACTCGATCCACCGTGCGGCGTTGAACGCATATTAGCGCCTGCCAGACTGTAGAAATACTTCACACATTGCGCTAAACGGTGCGGTCAGCGTGGCGCGCATGCATAGCGCCTGCAAGATAGCATGAATACTTCGCGCATTGCACCAAACGCATTGCAGTCGGTCAGTTGGCATTAAACTCGTATCAGCGCTCACAATACATAAAAATGGCATACCTCGAAGTCAAATGAAACAAAAAAGACCTTAAAAATATTATTATACAACCATTGACGAGAAAATCGAGTCGATCTAGGAGAGGAAGGGGAGGGGGAGGGGAGATGGCAAAAAGGATGCTATGTCTCGTGTCTCTATGTACCTATCCAAAGTGGGAAAAGCATAGATTCGTTTCCTTTTAAAAATTTCTGGGAGGGGACCATACGGGCCCCATAAGAAGCAGGACATAACAGTTTCATCTGCGTCGGTGCGTGATCAAGAAATACAATTAGGTACAATTGATAAGAGCTCGTAGACTCTCCGTGTGAAATGAGCGTTGCTCTGACAGAACGCATTGCCCTCATGTAAAGCCCGGTCAATTTTTGAGTGCCCTCTTTTAGAAAATGTTTTGTCGCGAAAATTTTGATTCCTGCTCGAAATATACTCATTCATGAGGTTAAGAACAGTGAAAAGGTAGTCTCAATTTACATGCAATTAAATATTTGTTACTCGTCCATTGTCTGTTTATAGCTTTAGTGCTTTACTCTCATGTACGAATTTTCAATTTTTACTACAACATCAGAATGAAAATTACTCTCCAAAGTCGATTCGATTGACCAATAAAAATATCTTATTTACATACAACCCTTGCGAGAAGCGTTTGAAATTATGCGTTCAAGATGCAAGATGCAGGGATCGCACGCAATCGATCATTGGCTTAAGAAGGATAAGCCGCTCCTTCAAATTACAAACTGCTAATTACTTTTTCTCTTTTTTTTAAAAAAAGAAACCGAAACTAACCAACAATTTGTTTCATGCATTAAAAAATATTTACAGAAACGTTCGAACAGATTCTATTTATTAAAATCCTTTTAAACCAGAATTAAGTTATCAGAGGAACTGGAAAGTTGCGACGGAAATGCAAAGTTCTCGATTTCAGCCATTGCTAGGCATACACTCGAACGTAACCCAAAATTTTTCTGTAAGTAAAATGTTTCCGGAAGATTGCAATTTTTTGATCAAAAAAAAAAACAAAAAAAAAACGTGAATTTGAGATAAATAGAATCTTTAATTTCTAATTTAAGTAAACGTACAGGTATACTTTGGTTGAAAAGCAAGAACATGGTCTTGGAGGATAATGGATTGGATACTTGTGGAAGTAGACGGATTGGTGCGTCAAGAAACAATCTGATGGTTAGTGTTGCACTATTGATAGGGCTGGAAAGTATATTACGGACCCTGGCTGAAACAATCACCACTACTCATGGCCCTCTTCATGACGACGTTAAAGACTCAAATGGATATGAGGATTTCGAATGGAACAAAAATTTGATCGACAGCAAAATTATTCCTGACGTTATTCCTCAGGCAGTGCAGTTCAATCTTAAAGTGAGATTTTGTCCTATACCTTGATTTTCCTATCGCATTCTGAAACTATTTCCCTCCGGCATTAAAATTATGAAATGTAGAAAGTTTGACTTTACTTTCATTTTGTACTTTAAGAACTGAGATCATGCTCATGCTTGAATTTATGTATTTCCGACAAGTTATACCTGTACGAGGTGTATATATCTTGTGCTGATGATGGATCGCAAGTTGCTTGACATATGTGTATACTTTCAGTCCATAAACAGCATTACCTACTTGATATAAAGTGTGCTTAAAGGTAAAAATTTTACGTTTTATAATTTTAATGTAATCACATAACAAACACGCGAGGTGGAATTCAAAGATTTTTTCCTTTCCTTTCTTTTTCGTTAGTAGTTTAGTAAGAACTGAGGTATTTTTAAAAATATTGCTTATAGCATTTAAGTAATACAGTTTTCCAAAAGTACACTGAAAAAAAAAAACTCCGGCCGTGGGAGCCCCAATCACGGGCTATATAGATATCCCGTCCGTTCCGGGCTCAAAGGCCGAAAATTCCGGCTGCTGGAGGCGTAGCTTCAATTGCTCCANAGGCCGAAGCTACGGCTCCAGCAGCCGAAATTTTCGGCCTTTGAGCCCGGAACGGATGGTACGTCTATATAGCCCGTAATTGCGGCTCCCACGGCCGGAGTTTTTTTTTTCAGTGAATTTATCAATACTCATGTTCTCTCCTGAAGTGTCCAAACCTTGCTTGGATATTCCCAGATATTTTCTGAAGATTTTTTTGTTATTTTCATGATGATTGGAAAATACTCCCCAACTTAATTTTAGAAATTCCGCTAAAAAATATCATCATAACATTTTTCAAATGATCCATCAGCAATATTCTGTCTGAGGCGTTGCAACTATTTTGAAAAAGTATTGTTTTGATTAGATAGGTAATAGTGGAGTGCAAGTGCTTAAGAAAGGACTAATTTTAGAAACCCCTGTCTCAAAGTATAAGGGAGTCAGGATGATAATCAAATAAATGAGACGCCTTATCGTTTGAAAATGATTTGTCATTAAATTTTTTTCCACTTTGGGAGGCATGCCAAAAACCACAAGTTTGCGTGAATAAAGGTTCGAAGCTCGCGTGAGATCGAGAGTTCCTTCAACGTTACATTTATGCAATGTAAGTTACAGGAGGATTGAAACTTTTGTATCGAGATTTTATTAAAAGAGTCAAAATTAAACGTGGTAAAGTGCGAGCACTCTATTGAATTATGTTGCGGCTTTTCAGATTCTTTTCGGAAATGAAGAGATTAAATATGGAAATCTTTTAGTGCCTTCCACGGTAAAAGAGGAACCAACGCTTCTTGAGTGGCCATCAGACATGCATAAGTACTACTCAATCGTAATGACAGGTAGCGTTTTCGAATGTTTTCTTTTTGATCTGTTTTCAAAATTGAATGATTCTTCAATACATCTTCAAAATTTCTCTGCTGGCAAAAAGCTCATGACTGAAATCTTAATGGCCATTCATGGCCATTAATTATAATTTAAATAAATGCTCACTTCCTAAAGTGAGTAACTTCATCATCCTACGACCATGGAAGACACGACATGAAAACATTTGAATGAGTGGACGCGATTCCAACAATAAATATCAAGTCCACAACAAGTTCCACGATAGAGATCGTGTGACTATTGTATGGTGGATGATACCACTATTCGACTACGTAAGAACTCGTCTTGCCTACACTAAATATTGAAGGCGAACCAATATGGCGTTAAAATAACCTTTACTGGTTTGATAAAACTCTACTCTTAAAGTTTTTGGAAAGAGCAGGTCATTTCACGGACAATGCCACTATTCGATCACGTAGGAGCTCGCGTTGCCTACACTGAAATTGAAGGCAAACCGATACAGCCGTGATGTTATCTTTTCCCGTCTCATAAAAAGCTGTTTTCTGTCTGTTCCGAGCAGGCGTTTAATTGCGCCATGATTTCTCTATTCCATGCACTTCTGCCTCAATTCTTTTTTTTTCTTCCTCCTCTTTCTCCTATTTTCTCCCTATTTCTCAAGTGCATTATCCTCCATCTTTATTCCTTTTTTCTTCATCTTCATCTTCCCTCTTGCTCTTCTTCTTCCCTTTTCGTTCTTCTTCTTCATTCCATTCTCTCCCTCCTCATTCTTTTTTCCTCTTTCTCCTGTCTTCTTATTTCTCTTTTTTTCTTCTCCTTTCTCTTCTCATCTTCTTTTTCTCGAACGGGAAATAAAAAAGCACTCTAAATTGAAAAACAGGGTAAGAGAAGCACTTACGTTAAAGACCGTTGATTCGTAAATGGTGTATGTGCTTGGATCTAAATTCGAACTACGCCCTCATACAAACAAAAGGCACATTGCTAAATAATCTGAATCGGTCGATGTGGTTCTAATAAATTATTATCGTGTCCAGTGGCGCGTGGCGTGAATTGCGATATATCGATTGTTATGCCATTTAAACCTATGAAAAAAGATCGATTATCAGGGTGTTCGCAGCGAACACCTTAGTAATCGATTCTTTACCATAGTTTCAAATGGCGAAATATTGATAATCGATTATTCACGCCACGCCACTGATCGTGTCTGCAACAAATTCGCTGACAGAGATCGTCTGAAAATTATATTTTGATAAATATACGTCACACACAATTTTGCTATTAATTTTTTAGAATCAACCTTTATCGTAGAGTATAGTTAGTTATTATATAATATAGTTATTATTATAAAGGAGTCATAGTAAAGTAGTGTTTCCCATGAGGATTAATTTTATAATAACACCGAAAAGACAGTATTTTTTTTAAAACCCCTTTGTCTCTTATTGCTCTCGATCATGTGCCTCTCGTATTCTCTCCAAAATGATTACGGCCTTCCCAATAACCCGAGAAAAGCTGAGGAACTTATTAAGGTTATATTTGTAATTTTGTGGCTCACATAGACGCGGACAACCCTGAACCTGAAGATAACATACACGCAGAATGGGTGCATTGGGTCGTTATGGACGTTCAAGGTGGAAACAGAAATGTCTGCAGAATAGTTGTTCCTTACCAAAAACCTCAGCAGAATGATTTCAGAAAATTGAAAGGTATTAATGATTTTTTCAAGCTCCATGAAAAAATACATTATAGTACGAACGTCTTCCACAATGGTTTTCAACATGTCATGCCTCATAAAACGACATTCTTTTCCTTATAAAAGACGAGGGAGATAAGAATCTGTTGATTGTACTAATTTCTCTGTTAGATGAGAATCAATTTTTAAGGTCCCACGCTTGTAGCCGATATTTATACCAACATTTTTACTGATGAAGAAAGATCTCTGAATCTTTGCATGCATGTATATACTTTTCAGATACCTACTATTTTTCCCCCAAAATATTCTTTTTCTATACGGCTACGCAGTGCCAATATTCCGTGTTATATTTTAGCTTGATTCATCATCTCTTGTGCTTGCAATATTTAACGAATTTGAAAATACAACATAAACACTCAATATGACCCTTAACGTTGGAACGGGGAGAAAAAAGCCGGAAAAAATGAAGGGAAAAAGATTGGATAAAGAACAATAGAACAATATCAATACATTAAAATGCAGATGGAACCATACATTTCTCATTTTTCCCATTCCTTTTCTCTCGCGCAGGGATGCACCGATACGTGATTGCAGTTTACGAACAACCTCATGCCAATGTTACGTTCCATATGCCCGTGTTAGACGATGAGTAAGTTTTTAATTTTATCGACTTTAAAGTTTTTGTTTTGTAAACAATTCCATTTAGATTTGTTTTATATCATTAATTTTTTTATTCATTTATTTATTTATTTAAAAACTAATATGTTTCTACAATCAGTGCATGTGTAGTATCAATACTATAAGCTATACTGGTCCCTAAATTTTCTTTTTTGTCGCAAATCGTTCTAAAAATCTACGGGGCCGATCATCATGACTTTTGCAGCTATCGACAGGATAAAGTCCCTTGATGAGCTTGTTTCAATTAGATGGACTTATAGCGGCTTGCGAAGCGGGTCTTTGACAGCACGAAGCTTCCTCCGCCCGGGCCGGGGGTTGGGGTTGAGCCGCGTAGCAGCCAGGGGGCGTACCTCATTGCCTAGAATAGAATTACAATAAAATGAACTGGATCATGTGAGACAAGGCGAAAATGAAATGCATAAGAGCCAACTCATTTTAGATAGCCACTCAGTCGTGCACAACCGGGACAAAAACACAACAAAATATAAAATAGAAAAATCAATTAAGAATATACATGACCAAGGGTCAAAGAAAATCATTCTATTTAACACCATTCATTTTCAGACTTGTTTCCGTGTACCAAATTTATTTTATTGTAATTAAATCGTAGGTGTCATAGGCTGCTAGTAAAATTTTGTCTCGCGTCTGAAAGGATGCCGATTAACAACAGTATCGTTTTGACGTATACACAAGCATGTACTTGAATCTCGGAGCTTTTATTCGTGCTACACCCTTTCCACCCTTCCTTCTCCTCCTCTCCCACCGTGATCTGCATGACCTCACCTCAGTAAGGTTGATTAAGCGTGGTCACGTTATTTTTCTTCTCTCTGTGATCAATCACGTGTGGAAAGAGGACCAAAACAGGGATGCAAGGGAGCGATAACCGACTATATAGAGAGAGGACACAGGGGTTGCAAAAGTTTCATGCTGGTTTCAAGGGATGGATTCCTTCACTATACAGTATTGAGGGAATTTACGCGGTATCTCTGGATGTAAATCAATTTAATACCATTGCAGATATTTGACAAATTTACACGAAAAAAACCAATAATTAACAAAATTTCACATTTAATTTGTATTAAACCCTTTATTTATTCATTATTTTTTTCAGACCCCCGCACGCAGATCGAGCGCACTTTTCCTCAAAGTATTTCGTAAAAAGGCACAAAATGCAACCAGCTTGTGCGGCTAATTTCTTCCGTATTGATTGCACGGAAAAAAAAGATTTACTGAATTTAAGTAAACGCGTCTACTTGGATTTTTTACTTATTTCAAAACGGGTTTGACTTGGAAGAAACCAACGGTTTTCTTCATGTAAGACAACATGATTCGCTTGAGACAAGCGAATCGTGTTTTCTTAAATAAAATAAACGTTGTTTTAAAATAAGCCAACTTTTGCTTGAATGAAGAAACCAGTTTCTTTAAAATTAGTAAACGGGGTGAACGCCTTCTGAGTCCGGCCGTTGCCTCTTTTTAAGTCAACAGCATGCTTGGTAGAAGAAAATACGATGTGTCGAAAGAAGAAACCGGTTTCCTCAAAATTAGTAAACGGGGCTAACTCCTTTCGAGGCGACCGGATGCAATTAGCAATACGCCCGTTGATTTTTTACAATTCAACAGTTTGCTTGGTACAGTGAAACACCTTGCGTTTAAAGAAGAAACCGGTTTCCTCAAAATTAGTAAACGGGGCGAACGCCCTCAGCGGGGGAGGATGCAATAAGCCAGACGCTGTTGCCTTCTTTTAACCCAACAGCTTGCTTGGTAGAAGAAAACACGTTGTGTCGAAAGAAGAAAACGGTTTCCTTAGAATTAGTAAACGGGGCGAACGCCCTCAGCGGGGGAGGATGCAATAAGACGGACGCTGTTGCCTTTTAATAACCCAACAGCTTGTTTGATGAAAGAAAACACGGTACGTCAGAAGAAGAAACCAGTTACCTTAAAAGTAGTAAACGGAGTGAGTCCCTTCCGCGGGGAACGGATGCGGCATGGGACATGTGCGGTTGCCTACTTTCAATATAACATTTTGCTTCGAAGAAGAAACCAGTTTCCTTAAAATTAGTAAACCGGATGGTGACGCCTCCTATGAGAATGATACATGCAATTGCTGCCAGATGCCGTTAGCATCTGCTTAAACCAACACCATTTATGACGGAATAAAAGGAGACGGAAGTTAAAAAATCAAGATGCCCATTATATTTGTCTACAAAATAATTGTTCTTTAGGGAGAAATTCATTTAATGTGTCCTTTGAGAAATCACTCATATGCTCGGCGTCGACAAAAAATTAAATAAATAAAGAAGTAAAGAAGGAGAGGAAGAGGAAATATTTGCGTTGTTCTAAATAGATCGGCACTGTGCATTTGAAGTTTTAATTTTTATTTTTAAATGAAGGGGGCCTCATAAAGAGGACTTAAATACTTAAGTAGATTGAAGCCGGGAGTTTTTTGCATTGCCTCAGTTCAGTTTCATCGGACAATGTATTTCCTCACACTAAAAAATCGCAATTTTTTTTACTTATTTTCTTCCTTACTTTTCCTGTCCTGATGAATGAAAGATCCCTCGCAGATAGAATTAAAAAGGGTCAAATAAAATGCATGCTTATGCTGAGGGCCGAGGAAGAAATTAAAAAAATGTGGAGAGAATCATACTTTTCAGCATGTCACCCACCAAGTTGACAGATGAAGATATTCGAATAACTCTGCTGCTACGTAGTGTTTACACTGTTCAATATCGATTTTCCGGGTCCCTTTGATTTATGAACGCAACGATGGAGTGGATCGAAAACAAAATACAGTTTTTTCTGTATTTTCGAAAGGAATTTGCGAGTGCAAAATTGTTGATATTTAAAACTTTGATTCATTTGTGTCCGGGGAAATTTTGGGTCGAAGGGCCTGTCGGGACCGATCTTTCCGCCCCCCCTCCCTCCACAGTCTTGTACGGATACTCATAAAGAGCTCAACATTTTTTACCGTAATTGAAGCATTTGACCCTTTTTACCTTGTTTCCCTGCAAAATAGGGTGGATCCAGCACTTCTTTACCACCTTCCTATCAACTTTAGAGAGTGTAACGAAAATGAAGTGCAGCTATACAATAAAATATTAGAACGTCACGCGTGTGATTACGTAAACTGAGTAAAATATAAGAGTAATCGAAGATTGAACTTTTTTTATGAATAAATTGTGACTGTCCACGGAAAAAGATGCCTTAATCCAGAAAATCTCAAAGCTTATTTTTTAAATCTTATTTTTTAAAGTAAGGAATTAGAACTATTAATGTTTCTTTTATAGTGCTCACATTCTTCTTTTTCCGCCCGATGTGAATTAATTAGAACTATTGAATAGAACTATTAATATTCTAATTGAAATAGAAAAGTCTAATAAATGGTCCAGAATAGTCTTGAATATTATAATCGAATTGAATAGAACTAGTAATATTTAAAAAATGTAACAATCTCAGTCATCAAAAATAAAAAGTTATTGTGTTACAAACATTTTCGAAGAGTTTCATTCTTTATTCTTATTTTTTTAAAGTCAGCGATTCTTCAAGAAAAAATGAAGAGAGAAAACTTTAAAAAAGGCGCATTGCTTTAAATTCTTTTTAAAGAGATTAAAAATTAATATAAGATGGGAAAGAAACAAAAATAAACGTAAAAAAAGTGACAACAGTAACACGCGTATTTCTTTTTTGCTCTAAATTCATCTTTTCGGGTTCAAAAAATCTTAACCCATCAGGTCTCACACATATTCACTATCACAATAATGGTGAGAGCCAAAGTCAATGACTTATATAGTGTAAATTCGGCCGACGTAGACATAAGCCCCGATGGCTAAGTAGGTAGGGTAATAGGTTCGTAAGCTGTAGGTCCCAGGTTCGAATCCCGATAGGTAGGCCAAAATTTGCAAGTCGGTACTTGCCATGTCGAGTCTTCGATACTTGCAGATATACAATTGAAAATTTTTTTCATCAAAAATTCGATAAATTAAACCATTTTTTGCTAATATTGATCAATAATAATACATATGATATGGGTGCAGTGTGCATACCTGCAGTGACTATTTACTAAATTTAAAACAACAATTGGCTAGAAATAAGTAAACACGCCTGGGAGTTAGGCAACATCCATTCATGCCGGGCGTCCCCGTTTACTAATTCTAAGACAACAGTTGGTTTCAATACAATAAACGCGCATTCCCGTCCAACACGCCGTTTACTAATTTTAAACAAACCATTAACTTGAAGCCAGTAAATGCACGTGGGAGTTACGCAACTGTTTCCTATTTCTAAGTAAACAGTTTACCTAGATCAATACGACGGATACTCACTTCAAACCAACGATAACTTCTTAAATTTAGGAAATATTTTCACGGCATGGAATGTTTCCTTTTTTTAAGTAAACGCTTTCTTCTTTTAAGGGGACGTGGAGCGTTGGATTGAGAAAACGCTATTTCTTGATCCAAGGTAACTCCGTTGTCTTAGTTCAAACCTCCGTTTCTTGTCGATACTTTTTAAGTATCCAGTTTACTTGGTCTAAGACGGCTCCACCTTGTATTTAGGAAACATTTTTTTCAGTGTGGGGTTGAGCAGTTGAGCAGTTGAGCAGTTGAGCAGTTGAGCAGCATGAAGCACGCATCATGGGTGAAAAATGACCTATGACAGAAAGTCTGCAACGTCGTAACCCGAGATACGTAGTCAGGTAGTTCCATTGTCGATGTATGCCAATAATAAAGTCGATGCATGAAAAATCAAATTTTGACTTCCATTAAAGAGTGGTAGTTCAAAAAATCTTCATTTACAACGAATGAAGGCAACATAGAGCAAGAACGTGCTAAGTCAGACATATCGAAATGATAGCAAGCAAACAGTTTTCAATCGGTTTTAATTATGAAAGCTTTCAATTTTGCCAGACGAGAGGACAAAAGTCAATATATCTGGTGATTGTTTTAAGGAAAATTTGACCCAATAAAAAAATCGATTCGATTATCGACCCGTATATCTTGGATAGAACGCTATTTTCAGTTTTAATTGGATAATATTCATCATAAATCTATCATAAAATCCCTTCAAGTCAGCAAATTTTTACCATTTTTTGAAGATGTAGCTTAATAAGTGACAAGGAAACTATTAGCCAGTATTCCCAAAAACTTGCAGTATAAGTAGAATTTAATTTGGCTAAATTCAGCAAGAAACTTTCACTTGCATAGACAAATCAACAAAGAAAACTTACTGAGAATTAGTTCAAGACAATTTTTTAGGGTAGGAACTGGTCATTAATTAAAAAAAGGTTCCATTATAATTGTTTCTTGCCGTACCTGTACAGACCTCGTTTTAGACTAAAGTCGTCAATTGGTCTGAGCATGACGCCAAATTTTTGAAAAATTTTCATCAAAACATTCGAGTTCGGACCCAAACTTACTTTACAGCAATTTTCCTTGCACTATAACAACAGTTTACGAGTAAAAACATGGTACCATTGAATGAAATATTCATTGCCAATAAGCTAAAAAATGCTGATAAATTCTTTTTTTTGGTGACACTCTTTGTGCAAAATATTAAGTTTGTACGAATCGAACGACTCTTAATATGACTCACCACATATTTTCTTTCGATTCTCAGATTCTCTTGAGTAAAAATTCGCTTTCCTTATGTGAAAATATATATTTATAACTACTCTAAGGTTCAGATTACGAAAATTCATTTTAGTGGTTTTTAATTTTTTAGTTATTTTATCCCGGCTCAATACGTGCGATATATAATTTTCGAGTTTTCTTCGATAAATTTCTTTTTTTTCTTCCCTGATTCATACATTTTTCCACGACACGGCTGTTCAAGTAGCACAGTGCAATGAAAATATTAAAATACATTTTTTTTTCTTTTTTTGAACCATGTTTCAATATTTTTACGTAATTTGATTAAAATATGCCGATTCTCAACAATCAACAAATTGAGTTCCGCGTGTCAGCAAGATAGGCAATGTGCAGTGCAATGAAACATTGCAACCTATTTCAATTTTTTGCAAGAAATTTCAATAAGCCGTTTGCCTTCAATTAGTAGATAGGCAACACACACACCACTCCGATGCAGTAGCGATAATTTTACCACATATAATTGCAATTTATTGCAATCTGTACTACTTGGGTGTGGAATACAGGAAAAGGAAGCGGTTCACGAGCTTGGTTTTTTAGCCTAGGATATTTGCGGAATCGCGGCTTTTTTATAGCAACCGTAGAGCAAATTGAGTTTTTCCACATCCAGTCTGCTGAGCTGAATCCTTTGACCGATGAGCGCGATGGCACCAGGTTGACGTGGGACGACTGTCAGACTCGAGATGTCTCTCTTGAAGGCGTCTGGCCGATAATGCATCACGCTCTGATAGTCGTAAGGGAGCAGATCCGTCACCCAGCGAACCCTCCGTTTCGTGAAATTGATTTCGGCCCCTGCCATCCCAAACACGATAAAGGAAACTGATTAAATCGATAAACAAGGCAGGTTGTTATTAGCGAGGATTTAAGGTTTTTTTTTTTTTTATCGAGGACACTGCAGCCACATTCCATCATGAATGCTCTTAACGTGATTCGATGGACGCCATATTTTTTGTCAGAACAGCATGCGATATATCGCATCAATTGGGGTTCCATTTTTTCAGCTACTCGTCATTTTTCTTCAATTTTGAGATCGCAATTCTGTTTTCAGGAGACTAAAGCACTCACTTACCCATTTTTACAAAGAAATTCAACGTAATAAAGGCGTGGTTTTTTTTAGAGAGAAAATATCGCATTGGAGTGCAGTTTCGATATCAGTATCGAATGCGATGTTTTCTCTCTAAAAAAAACCACGCCTTTATTACGTTGAATTTCTTTTTAAAAATGGGTAAGTGAGTGCTTTAGTCTCCTGACAACAGAATTGCGATCTCAAAATTGGAGAAAAATGACGAGTAGCTGAAAAAATGGAACCAATTGATGCGATATATCGCATCTCGTCCTGACACAAAATATGGCGTCCATCGAATCATCTTAAGCGGTTGTTATGGAATTCAGAAATTTTTGAAAAAGTTTGACAACAGCGTGAGAGGTACGGACGAGAATACGTGATATCAAGTGCTTACATGTTCCTCGGAAAACAGCTAATGCAATCTCGAACTTTGTCTGAGAGTTATTTTGGATTCTTTTGACAGGTTAACAAGCATACAGGGATCCAAGTTCAGAGACATCGAAGGATATGAGAAAGAGCGTAGTGAAAAAATTAAATAACGGATAAACCAGGAAATATTGTTCTTTTCCTCATTCCTCGAATGTCTGTCTGGATTTATATTGGACCTTTTGATAAGAGCCCTGAGGACCGAAAAATGAGAGCTTTTTACACTCCCCTGGATGGACCGTCTGTGTAGACTTAAGGAACTCACTAGGAAGTTATAGTGGAAATCGCATCGACGTGTTCACTCACTTGGGAAGGAGTCTCACTTCACTTTACCATACAGACCTTTACCGACGGCTAAACTAAAAAATCACGTATATGTACGTATTAGCTCATAAAACGAAGTAATTACTTATTTTGGATATTCTAAAAATTCTCGTGCAAGCTGTTATTTTGTAATGAGAAACAAATAAACATCTCTGAGCACTATACGTATACATATATTCTGATTTTTTTTATATTCTGCCAGTTCGAAACTATTCACAGAAAATTTTCTGGAGATATTTTGGTCAGTTTCATTTTAAATAAGCCACAATAATCAGAGATTTTTCTCTGTTACAATTGTGGAATGCATTTTTTGATGCACTTTAGTGTTCGTTTAACACAAGCTGAAAAACGCTTTCTTCTTTTTTGTATTTTTATTTTTTTATTAAAGAAAACTATAATAAAACCGTAAAAAAGTGAAGTTTTTACCTGGGACGATATTCGACCATTGAATATTGACATATGAGTCTCTGTCAGGGCGGGTGTGTTCGTGGCCAAATCCGAGAGAGTGGAGGAACTCGTGTTGGATGGATCCTTGAGTGTAACATGCTTCACCACTTAGGTATAAGTCCTGGCTTTGTTCATCCCTCTGATAACCAATGACCGAGGCACACCTGAATTTAAACATGAATAGAAAATTTCGATGATGGTTTTCACCTTCATTTAGTAATTAAGTCTGGTGATGAAACTAACCCTCGCCCACACAGAGGATATCATTCATACAATTTAAACTGATAAAGTTCCGGCTTTCATTAAACTAAAACTTTCGGTGTTGACTACCAAATTTTTCGGTATCTTACATAGAACTCAATTAGAGAATGATTGCCTCTTTTAATATATCAACGGCGAAACTATGGATGAATGCATCTAGCCTCATTTCAACTTTACTTTGCAGGATGACTGGTCACCCAAAATTACGTGTTATTTTTACGTGCCTTTTCATTAACATTCTCCAAACATTCCTCGTAAGAATTCCTGGTGATAATTTAAAAAAAAAAAATAAGAATAACATTTTTTTTAAAAAAAAATAATAAATAAGAATAAAATGTTTTAAAAAAAATTTAAAAAAATGAATCAATAAAAGAATCAATAAAAATAAAGAAAATTAGAAGGGGTGGAAATTTTGAAACACCCGCATCGAAGTACGTATTTACATTTGCGAAAATTTACCGTCGATACGCTACGTAACTTGAATTTAGTACGGTTTTGGTGCTCACTATCAACACGATTTTGTTTTGATAGACGTGAATTTTAGTACCTAGGTTTGAAACGCCAGAAATTTAGAGGCTCAATTCGATTCGATGCACTAAAACCTTAACTGAGGACCACTTTGGTGCAAAATAACGTATAGTTACATTATTAAAAATCCTTCGCCGGAAAATAACATGCAGCCGTTCAGTTTTATTCGGTTGGTTTCAGGGCTCTGAAATTTCCCATGCTCTCTCATCTAAACTTTTAATAAATGCTAAGAGATTTTTATGAGCTTCGGCGCCGTGCAGCAGCCAATTATCAATTTTAAATGCGCCAAAAGCTATTACCCTTCGCCGATATTTCTGACGCGCAGATGAGGTCCATGCGCTGAGCTTTCCTTGAACCTGACGCAAGAGTACTGTTCCATGGTACGAAGAGCTGCTCTCACTAAATTCCGATGGTATTCGTCAACCTCACTCTCCTCAAAAACATAATACACAACCCCATTTGGCCAAAGACTTGGTACGTCGGTTTCGATTAATTTCGTTCTTTCCTCCTAAAACGTGAGAAGAATGACATAAGATATATGCTGAAATCTTACACTTGTCACAAATTGATGATGAAGCTGCAAAAATGCATAGCACGGTTGAGGTGTTTTGAAATCTATGTCCCTATTTTATCTTTTAAAAGGGAACCAAACAAAAATATTGGCCTAACGTTTTCACAGAATATTCTGCACACAGAGAAAAGAAATCACCGAAGTTTTCAAGAAATGACGTCTAGTAGATTTACATGAATAAAATGAAGTATGACAGAAAGTCTCCTACGCCCAAAAACGAGATACGCATTCCTACAGATTCACCATCGAATTATAACAAAACTGCATTTATTTTTTTATTAAAAAAAAAAAAAAAAAAAAAAAAAAAAAAAAAAAAAAAAAAAAAAAAAAANAAAAAAAAAAAAAAAAATAGTGTATTTCCTTCGGAAAATACACTAAAAGAAAAAAAAAGAAACCACCGCAGAAGGAAAACAAGTTGGATTTTGCAATCGCTAGCGATAGCAATATTCGTCATGGGAACGTTAGCTTCTGGGATATGAAATGTTAAGGTACAGTTCGTTTGTAGTATCTTCTGAATTGAAATCAGCGAGGAAAGTTTACGCCTACGGTTTTTAAGGAAGATTCTTCATCGCCGTAAATCGAAAAGTCGGCCTATAAAGTGATGCTTATTGTGTTTTTTTATTTTCGAGGTGTC